TCTGCTCTAGCAATGCTCAGACTTTCAGAACTGCTCATTTGCACTTGTGAAATGCTGACACCTTAAAAGAACTGCAAGTTCACAAGTCCATAGGTGAAAGACAAGCCATGTAGTTTTAAAGTAGGCCATAATTATATGAAAACAGGAAATAATCACTTGTGGGAGTTTTTATATTTCATGGGTTGTTTCAGTGAGACGAGCGGATTCATTTCAGTCTTGAGAACTGTTTAAATGAGGTCAGACTACGGTGTTTAAAATGATCTGATCTTTTTAATAAACTGCTTGTGGGAAATGATTCTTTCTTTACAGTCTGTGCACTTCAGTTGTTTTACGCACTGATAAAAAGATCTGATGCTGCCACGTTTTGTCCTTTCTAAATTTGCACGGCAAATACCTGAAACTTAAGTAGCGGATAAATAAATAAATACTGTAACAAAGTGCTGTGGAGGAGTAAAATGTTGCAGCTGTTAACCTAATGAGTCTGAGAGAGGGCTGTATTTCCTATTATTGGATTCTCTCATGTAAGTGATCTTTGTCCTCAGTGAAAAATATGAAAATTCTGTCATCATTTACTCACTTCCATGCCATATGTATAACTTTCTTTGGAGCACAAGTTATTGACCAGAATATTTGGCTGCACCCAATCAAAGTCTTACTGAACGCTCATTTTTAAAGATATCAACCTCAAATTTGGACTTTCATTAAAATGTTCAGGTTTTTTTTCAGTAATAATTGGATCAACAATAATAAATGGATCATAACTATTCCATAAATATAATTTAGTACCATAAACTAAATATTAAATAAAACATTATCGAACCTACATATAGTATTCATTTAATTGAAATAAAATATAATAAAATAAAATTGGACATTTTTGACTGCATGTGATCAGCTCCAGAAGGTTAAATAATATTTCACAATATTACTTAATTGTATAACAAATAAATGCAGCCTTGGTAAGCCTAACAGACTTATTCCTAAAACATTTTAAAAATCGAACTAAAGGCGGCCGTACACGGAGCGATTCTGAAGGTCGGAACGTCGTGAGCTCTGGCACATGTCACGATTGAGTTTATCCGAAAATCCGAGGCAGTTACACATGACACGAATTTACTACCATTTTACAAACTCTGACATAAGCATTATGTTTCGCGCCATTCGTAAAGATATGGATTCTGAGGACGAAATAGTTTTCTTTGTGGCAGGCGGCCCCAGACATTTGAATGGTAGTGATGCAGACCTGAGTCAATTTTGTTGTTTGTTTTGGGATGCAGTTCATGTGAAGTTCTTCTAAACAAATTAACCACTACTGGTCACATAATTTGCATGCTCCCGGCCACACTTTTCTCCAAATAAATTACCTTTGGAGAGCAACTTGCATTCTCACAAACACAAATGCCACTGTATGTGTGAAAAGTTTGGATGGTAAATCCAATAGGACAGACACTTCAATAGCATAGTCCAACTGGCGTCTTCTCCTGAGACGTCCGTCACGGCATGATTTGCGACCTACCGGAGCGAGTATCACAATGCTGGAGGACCATATGAGGTCCTAAGGACATGTAGGGGAATGTTGCGGGGTGTGTTTGCTGTGGTGTTTTGACAACGAGTGATGCTGACGAGTGATGACAACCAGAGCTGGTGGTACCGGGTGGCAATTTATGCGCCCCAAGACGTGAAAACCTACCGTGAATTGTTTGACACATCAGTGACAGGGTCATTAGCATCACTCATGGCTTACTAATATGTTTTATACCATAATCATCGGATGAAACAGCACAAAGAGCAGCCGATGTGCTGATCTATCAAGGATTTTTGGCTCCCTCAGCATCCAGGACACTTTGTACTTCAGCATATCAGGTGTCAGTGTTGAGTCTTAACACATCTGTGATGATGGAATATAAACGATGACATCATCACAGCGCTGCAGCTGTAGACCCTGATGAAGATTTCTTCCAAACACAAAGAACAGTAGCAGTTCTTGCCAGAAGAGAAACTGTGCAGGTCTTCCCAGATCTGTTTGTCTTATATATCTGGGTTCGGATATGATGTCTGTTAAGAATTTAGAGCTTTTTACACTTGAATTGATAAATCCAATATCATTATGAAAGTAAGGGATGCACCGATATTAAAACGATACGGAATAATTATTTTCATGTTATGGCCGAAAACGCCATATGTAATGCTAGTTACATAATCAGATTACTTTTTTCAAGTAACTAGTAATGCATTACTTTTAAATTTACAACAAAATATCTTGAGTTACTTTTTCAAATAAGTATCACAAGTTAATTTGTTTTCACATTTATTGACTGACCCCATGTTGAGAGAAATTGAGAGTGAGGTGCAGAAGCACGTCCTTCATCCTGAAGTTTATTAATTTAAATTTTGGTGTGAAAGGGCCTTTACAGTTCCCAAAAATATTACTTTTTGGTTTCTGTTATTAAAAAAACAAATAACCAAGTCCAGCCCAGGTAAAAAAAAATGTATGCAAAAGTAACGTAATTACTTTCCATAAAAAGTAACTACAGTAACAGATAGATAGATAGATAGATAGATAGATAGACTTACATTTTTTGTTGTTGTTTTTATAACTTTAAGACCTTTTTTACTCAGGGTTAAACAAAGGTCTTAACCCAGGGATAAGTGTGGTATGAAAAGTCACAGGTGTTACCTGAAAGAAAAAAAACAATCAGTGCAAGATTGCCCCAACAAAATGCATCCAGTTTTTCACACAAAGCTGCCAACTTTAGGAGATTTAGTCTCATCTGGCTGTATATTAAAGCTCTGAAGCAAGATGTTGTCTCAGTAAGAGTAAGGCAGCATCTGGACCTTAAATATTAGCTGATACTTTAGCGTCTCTAATCTTGATATTTTATCAGCACCAAAGCCACATATGGGAAATCAAATTAACTGCCAAGATATCATTTGCTATCAATCTCTTGGCAAGAAAAGAGCAACAAAATGTTCAGAAGGCTAACGACCATTTAGAGCGTCTAAACACGATTTTCCTGGCATTGATGGTTGACGCTTGTGTTTAAAATTCGATGTTATTGGCTTAACATTGTTGCTAGCCTGTAATAGTAATAATTTGTTCTATTGGACATTTGCAGATTATGTCAGATAAAACAATCAGTCGACTATGTCCTGTCAGTCCAAAGGCAATGGGAAAATCATTCAATGAAGACTTCTTTTGGCAGCATGAAAAACAATATAATTTAAATTCGGAATAAATTATACACCAAAAGTGAATAATGTGACAATACTAGACTATTAAGCCACTTTTTTCAGCTGATCTTAATTGAGTTTTAGAGAAATGTTTTAGAAGAAATGTAAATGTAATCATTTTAAAATGTAGTAGTAATAGTACTAATAATAATACATTCTAAAAAATGCTGGGTTGTTGGGTTGTTAAATGTACTGTAAAAATTTAACCCAACGTTTGGGTTAGTCCATATTTGACCCAAAGTTGGGTTGAAACAACCCAGCATTTTTTAGAGTGTAGTAATAATATTAATAACGTATTAAATATTAAAGGGGTCATATGATGCTTTTTTAAAGATCATGACCCCTTTAATGCATTTCAGTTGTGCAATTAATCAGTTTAAAGTTTTAAAACAAGGTGGCAGAAAAAAGGCAAAACCATCAAACTGCCAGTACTGGTATCAGCAGATGTTGTTCTGCTTTCAGTATAATGATGAAAAATCTATTCATGGCATTTCCATAATGAAAGTGCATACACAGTATGTGAGGGGTATCCCTTAAATTTAGGGTAATCTGATTTAACAGCGACTCTCTTTTTAATTTTCAGTGTCATGGATGTTACATTTGAAGCAAAGGCGTATTTAATTTGGTTGGATGTGAAATCGAATGTAAATTTGATTAAGGAATGAGATGTCTGGAATTTGAAACATGCCTTGATTTCCTCTCTTGAAGAACACGTGTCAGATTTGAGGAAATGGCTCATTTTCGTGCACTGGAAATGTACAAAACAGGTTTTGTGCCGAAAGTTTGACGACTGCTGTTTAGCATTTGATAGATGATCTTTATACATCCTACGCAACAATTAAAATCAGAGCTGGTGAAATGGTGGGAAAACAGTGAAATGGGACGCTCCACATCTGCTGTGTTTCCTCTCATCTACAGCAATAGTGTTGGATTGTGAGATTTAGTCCAAACACTCGCGACCTATGCCTGCAGACGTGTTTTTCCAGAACAGCCTTAATCACAAAACAAATCTGCTGAATATTTATTGCAGGAAATGTGGAACTGATAATAACACAGCCATTCAAAGAAGGAGTTTCTGCGGGGATGCTGTGCCATTCCTCATGGTTTCAGTGAAAACTTGTTTTGTCTTGAAATCGTGTACTTTGTTCCAGAAAATACTACAAACCATACTACAAAAAAAAAAACCCAGAAGAATATGTTTTCTACATCTACTTCTTGAAATCATGTGGTTGTTATTGTTATACATGAAATATATAGTTATTGTGTTGTGTTTGGATTAAAAATACTTGTAGACTACGGTAGCCTGAGACTTTTGCCAGCTTCAGCAGAGGACAATTAGGGACAATCCATTTCCACATAATATCGCATATGCCATCTGAAATAGAATTAAATAATTTTAATGTCATACTGAAGTGTCAAACACTGTTAGACACATCAGTTTGGCGTATACTTTGCAAATTCTAATACTAAAGAATTGTGACTGGGAACAGAGTTGATGCTTCATTTAGAGACTTGTGAACATCAGATTTCACAAGTCCAACTTTTACAATTTATTGTCCATTCTGATCTGTTATTTTAATCTTTGACAATTGCAAAACTGTTCAACTTGCAAAAAATACTAAAGTGTTTGCAGCTGTTTGTGTGTAAGGCACTAAAATCCAGGACAAACTGCTTCCCGATACGTAACACAATTCCGTTGCAATACATGATAGTTGGCAATCGTCTTGTTTATCTCCCACTGTTCTAAATGCTCTCTCTCTCCTCCTCAGATCTGTGGCTTTGTGAACGCTATTAGCCTGGTTGGGAATGATCAGCAGAACCTAATGGCTTTCCGCTTCTCTGCATTTAACCCCATCTTGGACCCCTGGATCTTCATCATCTTCCGTAAGGCGGTCTTCCACCACATCCGGGCATTCTTCCGCTGCTGCTTCCCCAGAGACTCAGTGAAGACCACAGCTCAAAACTCCCTGTCCTTCCCCATGGAGGCTGGAGATGCCCAGATGCACAGCTCCAGCATCCAGACTAAGATCTACTGCAGCCTCCCCCAGTGAGGCCTTGATGAGCAACGATGCACTTATGATGGCGTGCAATGAGATATAACAAGACGATGAGACCTAGAAGCCTGAAAAGACTGCCTGAATGTATCTAGTGGTACTAAGAACCAAATATAAAAGCATGGATGTCAAAGGACCTGTTTCCTCTCCATTGGCGATGGAGGGGAAATAGTTTGTAAACATGTGAACTAATGCTCATCACTAAACAGGCTCTTTAGTGCAAGTAAACCACAGAATTATTTTAGCAAAGATGTGAAGCAAAGTTGACAAATGAACAGAATGTAAAGACAAAAAACAACCAATGTCCATTTGGGGAACTGGCACATACCACAAGTGTACCAATAATCACCAAGCATAGAACATCATGAACTATGAGAAGATGAAGTTGACCACCAACTTGCTCAGTAATATATTAATATATCGGATATATTAAAAGTTAATAACGACATGCAACCAAGATATGGGGTGGAAAACACTTAGCATATATCACTTTAACACTTTAAAGGTTAACGTCCTTCTAAAGCCGGCACACTTTTATGCAAACACGAACTGCAGTGCCAAGGGTGTACCGTGTGACAAAATATGTGCTGGAACGTTACAGCTGTTTAGTATGTCTCATTAAATATTCATACAGCTTGGTTTGTTTTCCTAATCTGAAGGAAGCAGTTAAAGCATCAAACAGTGAAGGCAATTGCATTAACTCATGAAGAAACATTTCCACAGAAGTTATTAAACAGCTTATTAATTGTTGTTAATTCATTTTTCAGCAAATTAGATGACATGTACAATTTAAAACAATTCAGAATTAATTCAACATAAAAAAGTGAGAAACAAAGTTTAAGATAAATGTATTAAACGGATACCAGGTAACAATTTCAGATGTTAAAAGACTATTTGGTGTTAACTCATACTAGATATAGTACCAAAATATTTTTTGGGTGTAGTTTTTGGAAGAGCGCATTGTTGAAAATGTAAACATTTAATTTCACTTATTTCATAGAGGTATGCAAAAATAGCTCATTTAATTTAACTAATAATTTAATGTAAATAATAAAAAATAAATGACTGTAAGATTGCATCATAACCAGGTGCGATTTTAACACATAGCTAGCTGTGTCTGTACAGGAGATTGGACCAATAAGATTGCACTGTGGGCGGGGCGCCTCAGCCACTAAAATAGAAACCAGGCGATCAGCTTGATTAGAACAAAATTTTACGTGGAAGAGATGGCTTTTATCTCTAGATTCTTTAGCATGTCATGTCTGTTAGTATACGGTGTTAGAGGAAAGACTTCTGTATAGTGTAAATACATTTGACCATACAGTATGTTTCCAAATCAGCTGATTTTAAACTATCCTAAACACAATGCATGTCTGCTTTCATACCTGCTTTCAAAGCTACTGATATCACCCTAAATGTTTCATTCAAAAATATGGATATCTGTCTTTAAAATACATACAGTACGGTACGGTGTATGATTATTGTAAACATTTATATACTCTGTTTGAAGCTATCTGCAGCTAAAACTGCTGCCGCTATAGTACATTGGTCTGTTATAAAACATTGATACCAAAAAACGGACAGTTTCATATGCTTTACTAAGGTCATTCTCAGGAAACATTGCAAGAAAATACATTTTCATTTCATTTCATTTGAAAATTTTACTATGGAACCTTAAAGAAATCATATTTTCCCACCTTAGACCCAAATAGTTATTTAGTTATTATTTTGTTAAATTGTTATTAGTTATTTATTATTTACTAGCCCTATGGCTAACCATAAAGTCGTACTTTATTTCCCAGGTGAAAAAAAAAAAAATTTAAGATAAACTTAAGATCATCTAAGTGTACTCAACTGTGCTATTTTGGGAAACCATGAATATGGACTAAAATGCACTTTTAACATACTATCTCTGCATTTAAAAAATTTATTTAGTTGCCACTTGTAGTACACTTGAACCATCTTTCATACACTACTACACTCAAGTAGTACTACTACAAGTGGTGACTAAATACATTTTTTGAATACAGAGATAGTATGTTAAAGGGGTCATATGATGTTGCTAAAAAGAACATTATTTTGGTGTAATGAAATGTGTTTATGCGGTTTAAGGTTCAAAAAACATTATTTTCCACATACTGTACATTATTGTTTTTCCTCTATGCCCCGCCTTTCTGAAAAGCAGAGGCTGGGGGCTAGAGTGAGCGGTGGCTGGCTTGAGTGAGCGGCGGCCGGTGGGCTTGAGAACGGCGCGGCGGTCACTTTACAGATCTTCTTTATGCACCATGAGCTTGTAACTTTTAAAAGCGGATTTTAGTTCATATTCATGGTGTTCCAAAATAGCACAGTTGAGTACACTTAGATGATCTTAAGTTTATCTTAGGAAGTACTAAAGAATATTTTTTAGTATATTAAGTACAAAATTCATGAGCAAAAATAAAGCACTTTAAGTACATTATGGACGTGTACTTTTTTTCACCTGGGTTGAACCTAATCACAGTACATTTGTAATTTATTTATAATTTCAATAAATAACTGAATATATTCTAGTAGTATTGCTCAGGTTTGTTGTGCCTTGAAATAAATCATACATTACAGTGAGGAAAAAAGTAATAACCCACACAATTATTCTTTTGTTTCAACGCTGTTACAAAGAAAATGTTTCAGGGTTGAAGTGCAATATGCTTAATAATAGCCTTAGCTTGACTAGCAATGCTAATAATATTAATATTATTAAAATTATTAGTAATATTTTTTTTGTAAAAAACAAATCAGAAAATATTCTCAGAAAATACATAAAGCATTTTAGAAAACTACATAGATGATATTTTAATTTGAATAAAAGCAAAACATTTTAATTCAAATTCAAATTCATATACTTTTTTTTATTTTAAACATGTTTGCTCTAAATAGGTAAATCTAAGAAATAATATTAATAAATTCAATATCCTGTTATAGGATCACATTTATCACACAAACGACTGTTTTTTTTCTTTCTGAGAATGACCTAACAGTCTGTATAGTGTTCAGGAGGATCAGTAAGTTTAACTAACTAAACAAACTAATTAACTGAGGTCATACAGCATCGGTTAGACAGCGTAAGACAGCGTGTAGACAGCGTAACAGGTTTGACATAAAGTCTGTAGAGTGGCCGTTTAAATTCACTTCCTCACCATGTTTGATATAAGTGTGCTGTGTCTGCATGCATGATGTGAATCTGATACCCTGTCGTGACATGATATTGTGTGTTTTAATGTTTCGTTGCACAGTGTTGTACTGTGCTTGGTGTACATTGGGTTTGTTCATGCAGTGTTGACTCAAGCTAGAAACAATGGAGACTTAGTAAAGAACACAACACCCTGTCCAAACAAACATGCGTCTTTGTCTGTTTCTTCAGGCATGCAATTTGGATAATCGATATACCATTTTATAAAAAACATAAATTGCACAATTTTGGATTTTATTTATTAGATCCTGTACCCACGAAATTACTGAAAGAGTTGTTACCTGTAGCAGAAGAACCGCTTCTCAATATTATTAACTCGTCGTTGTCTTT